TGGCGGCCCCCCTGTATCTCCTGACCAAGACAGACGGACCCTTCATTTGGGAGGACCACCACCAACAAGCCTTCGACCACATAAAGAAGGCCTTGTTGGAGGCTCCGGCTCTTGGCCTGCCTGATCTGACAAAGCCATTTGAGCTGTATGTTGATGAAAAGCTGGGGTACGCGAAAGGGGTCCTGACTCAAAAAATTGGGGCCGTGGAGACGCCCCGTAGCCTACTTGTCAAAGAAACTAGACCCAGTGGCTGCCGGCTGGCCCCCTTGTCTGAGAATGGTGGCAGCGCTGGCAGTCCTGGTCAAAGATGCCTTTAAGTTAACCCTGGGTCAGCCTCTTTGTGTTCGGGCCCCCCACGCTCTTGAGTCTCTCATCAGACAGCCCCCGGATCGGTGGCTCTCGAATGCCCGGATGACTCATTACCAGGCTTTGCTCCTGGACACTGACCGCATCCAGTTCGGACCCCCCGTCGCTCTCAATCCTGCAACCCTGCTGCCCACCACAGAAGAACCTGACCCTCGGGATGACCATGACTGTCATCGGGTTCTGGCCGAGGTTTTTGGCACCCGACCAGATCTCAGCGATAAGCCACTGGAGAAGGCAGATTACACCTGGTACACAGACGGGAGCAGTTTCCTCGAAGGGGGTCAGCGCCGAGCTGGGGCGGCAGTCACCTCAGAGAGCAAGGTAATATGGGCAGAGCCTTTACCAGAGGGGACATCGACGCAAAAGGCCGAGCTGGTGGCCCTGACGCAGGCCCTGCGGTTGGCAGAAGGTAAGAAGCTGAACGTATATACTGACAGCCGATACGCCTTCGCTACGGCACACATCCACGGAGAAATTTATAAAAGAAGGGGGCTCCTTACTTCAGGAGGAAAAGAAATAAAGAACAAAGCTGAAATCATAGCGCTCCTAGATGCTCTGTTCCTGCCAAAAGAACTCAGTATTATGCATTGCCCGGGACATCAGAAAGGAAACCAGCCAGAAGCAAAAGGAAACCGGCTGGCCGATCAGACAGCCAGGGAGGCTGCCATGAAGAGTCAAGTACTAACCACGAGAATCGTCCCCGAACAAAAGAGAGACGAGGCCATTAGAAGCTATTCCCAGGAAGACAGAGAATTACTTAAGAAAATGGGAGCCCTCAGTGATCCAGAGACTGGGTATTGGGAATATCAGGGAAAGACAGTTCTACCTCAAAAATCAGTAGAAGACCTCCTAGATGAACTTCACAAATGGACCCACCTAGGAGTCTCCAAAATGAAAAAGCTGATCGAGCGGGAAGAAACAATCCATTATCTGCTAAACAAAGATGCCATCCTACAAAGAATTGTTAAGAACTGTAAGGCCTGTGCCCAGGTAAACTGGGGCAAAAATAAAGCTTCAGGAGGGGTCAGACAAAGAGGCCACAGGCCAGGAATTCATTGGGAAGTTGACTTCACCGAGGTCAAACCAGGAATGTATGGCTATAAATATTTGTTAGTTTTCATTGACACTTTTTCAGGATGGCCAGAAGCCTACCCGACCAAGCAAGAAACTGCAAGGGTGGTATCCAAGAAGCTATTAGATGACATCTTTCCCCGATTTGGGATGCCTCAGGTAATAGGGTCAGATAACGGACCAGCCTTCGTCTCCCAGGTAAGTCAGAAGGTGGCCAGGTTACTGGGGATTGATTGGAAATTACATTGTGCTTACAGGCCCCAGAGTTCAGGTCAGGTAGAGCGAATGAATAGAACCATTAAGGAGGCTCTAACTAAATTCTCGCTAGCAACTGGCACTAAAGACTGGGTGACTCTACTGCCCTTGGCATTATACCGGGCCAGGAACACTCCTGGACCTAGTGGGTTGACCCCATTTGAAATCTTGTATGGAACCCCCCCACCAGCAGTTTCTTTCCTGGACCCTGATATCTCTAACTTTGTTGATTCACCTTCCCTCTTTGCTCACCTGAAGGCACTCCAGCTGGCTCACCAAGAGATCTGGAAGCCTCTAGCTGCAGCCTATCAGGATGCTATTGACACTCCTATTGCACCCCACCCCTTCCAGCCCGGGGACGTTGTCTGGGTACGGAGGCATCAGAGTCGGAGCCTAGAACCACGCTGGAAAGGACCCTACACCGTCCTGCTGACAACCCCTACCGCGCTCAAGGTAGACGGCATCACTACTTGGGTCCACGCTTCACACGTCAAGGCCGCGAACCCAGAACACAGGGAACTACTCGGCAGGGAGAGATGGCGGCTGACCCGGACGCCCAACCCCCTAAAGATAAGACTGGTCAAAGAAAAATAATAATCCTGTTACTCTGGGTAAATCTATTTACTTATGAATTTGCTCCCAGTGATGGGAGCCCCCATACAGCTGTGCCAACTACCTGGCAAGTAATTAATCAAATGGGCATTGTAGTATTTGAGGTCCAAAAAGAGGCACCAAAAGACACATGGTGGCCCATATTGTACCCAGATTTGTGCAAATTAGCTTTAGGGGTACAGGAGCCTTGGGACTTAGAAGGAACCCACGATACTGAAAAGGCACCCAGCATGGCGAGTCCTCCTGGGAGGCTGGGACTGGACCCATGGGGAGGATGCGGCCCTCCTGAACACCGGGCCATGTTGCGTACCTTAACCTTTTATGTCTGCCCAGGCTTTCACAGGGCTGTGTCTCTCAATCCTAAGTGTGGAGGGGGGGGCATTTCTTCTGCAAGAACTGGGGGTGCGAAACCACCGGAGATGCTTGGTGGAATCCGTCCTCATCATGGGATTACATCACTGTAAAAGCAAATTATTCCCATGGAAACAGTCATTTGCAGGGAAAATTTAATAAATAAAAAACTATTCATAAACAGGCCTGTCAAGGGAAATGGTGCAACCCCCTCCGAATAGAATTCACAACAACAGGTAAAAAGGCCACAGATTGGGATAGGGGGTATTCTTGGGGAATTAGATTATATAAGGAACGAACAGATGATGGCCTCCTTTTTACTATTAAAAGAGATACTTCCTCCTACCCAATAGCTATAGGTCCCAACCCCGTCTTACCTATCCAGAAACCCATCCTCAGCTACCCAAATCCCCCACTAGCTCTGATACCTGAAGCAACCTCACAGTACCTCCCTAATTCACCTCCCAGCATCTCCCCAGCTAACGTCCTGTCAGAACAGACTTCTCGTTACCCAAGGTTACAGGTTTCAACCACAGGAAACCGGCTGTTCAATTTAATCCAAGGAGCATATAAGGCCATTAGACAGACAAGATCCCAACCTAACTGAATCCTGTTGGCTATGTTTAACAGCAGCACCCCCTTATTACGAGGGTGTAGCAATCCAAGGGGCCTTCAATAATACCACTTCAGCCAACTTATGTCATAGAGAGACTCCTCACCCCTTAACCCTCAACGGAAGTCTCAGGATCTGGGCTCTGCTTAGGAAACCCACCTCCAACTCATGCCCGCCTTTGCAACTCCACTATCTCTGTACCTTCAGG